CAGAGTGGGCTTTTGGAGGAAAAGCTTTGCACTGAGACATCCCTCCCATCTGGGGAGCATTTCTAAGCAACTGACCAAAATAAGAGATATTAAAGTGGTCCATTTGTTGGTTGAACAAATGGAACACCACTTTCAATAAGAAATAAAACAGTTTCCCTTTATGAAAATAATGCTGATGTTTGTGGGGGGAATGATGTACAAGGGGGGACCCAAAAATAACCGGAAAAGACCTGTTGCGTGCGCATGCTTTGTCGTTACGAGTNTCTGAGGAAACGAACATCTCATGGAGCATGGTCCAGCGAATTTTAACCGAAGGTTTGCACATGAGACGGGTGTCTGCAAAATTTGTTCCTCGCTTGCTCGGAGATAACCAAAGAGAAAACCGCGTGAATGTTTGCCGCGACTTGAAGAGTGAAGTGCAGTTTTCCCTAACAGATAGCAAAATTTCATGCACACTCTTTGTTCCTTCTGGTCGGCCATCTCACTAATCGCCAAAGGGTTGAAACAGGAACGCACACAACAGAGCACCACAGACAAACCACTTAACTCAGACTGACGCCAGCTCACTAACAGTCGCGGGAGATCCCCAGCTAACACCACCTAGCAGCACAACTCGTAACTACAAAGCATGTGCGCGCAACAGGTCGTTTCCGGTTATTTTTGGGTCCCCCTTCGTATGTTTATAATCAAGCACAGAATATTTCAGTTTTTTAATCCAATAGCCAGGAAAATATTTGATCATCATAAGGTAGATCACTGTCTGACCACATACTTCCCAGGAAACAATGAAAGGTTTGAGAAAATGGGTTGGGCAGTGCTTCAGCAATCTCCCACGAGACTGTACTTAACTGGGATCAATTTCTGTATATTTGAGCAACTGGATTAGTTGAATTGAGGACACAGGTTTGAACACTGAGCAAATTCAGCAGCATATTTCTTATTGAAAACTTGAGTAAGAAGATTAAGTCCTGGAAGTTACTGTATACTCCTAATATAGTAATCAGCCATGTAAATTCAGTAGCAGCTGTGGTGAATGGGTATGCATAGCCTGCAGCAGAGTGTGTGCTGCATTAAGATTGGTTATTTGGTTTCCATTGGCTGCATTTGGGATCATTTAACCCATTTTGCCTCTTGCTTCCCAATATAGAGCACTCAAGTTCCTACAACACCAAGCAGCATCAAAGGGATGTGGAATTAGTAAATGTCTTGTCTTTTAAATGAAATAATGATACAAATTCCGTCCCAAGTGCAAACAATATATTATGTGTCCTTGATCTTGCTCCTCTACACTACATGTTTCGGCCTCAGACGGCCATCATCAGGTGTATAACACTCACGTTGCTGTCACACTGCACCCATCTCAAAATTTAACATTTAAAACACTTTCCTTGTTATTATCAACATCTACTTCGTTGATATCTGTCCGGTTTGTAGATTATTTTACACACGTTAATTTTGACGTTCCTGTAGTAGCACTATAAAATTTTTTTTAGTTCTAATTTTAAAATCTTTTAAAATTTTCCTCAAAATTTTAAAATTGTTAGGGTTACTTGCCCTATGTCTAAAGTGCTGAAGCGACTAGTTCTTGTTTCCACACTGTATAGGTGTTATCTGTAATATATAAATATATTCGTATTATTATCTTGTGTAGTACGTAATATTTTCTTATGTGTTTATATTGTTATTTGTACTTACCCTGTGTAGTCTTCCTGTGTGCGTGCCACTGTTATTCTTTACTACGTGTGCTGTCTGATGTACTGTGTGCTGAGTTTTATGTTGGTGAGTGTAGGGGGGGGGATGGGTAGTGGGGAGAGAGAGGTACCGTTAGTCTGTGTAGATTTCGTGTATCGTTTGAAATATGGGATTGTGTGTTTCTATGTGTGTATCATTCATTTGTAGGCCTTTCTTACTTATTTTATATATATGGTATTTC